GAATCGAACCGCGGTCGACTACATGGGAGTCCAGCAACATAGCCATTATGCTAACTGCTGGTCCCAATACATATATATTTTTTTAAGATAAATTTTTTGCTATCGGGTGCTTGTGCTCACCAGAGACACAAAGAGACAGAAAGCAAGAAATCACCCCGTGGGGAGAACCATGCCACAATGCCTTCTCCTCCTCTTGGGATTTTGGGCCGGCACACACATACGCCCAGTGTGTTTTAAGCTACTGGACCCAGGACTTGAACTGTGGTCAACTATGTGGGACTCCAGTGATATTTACCAATGGATGGTGTAACAGTTGTCACTGGACTCCCATATAGTTGACCAGTTTGAGTCCCAGACCCTGTGGTTTAAAACTCACACCAGGCGTGCTTGTGGGTGTGTACCCAAAATCCCAAGAGAATAGAGAAGGGATTGTGGCGTGTCCTCCCCTGGGGGGTGATTTCTCGCTTTCTGTCTCTGTCTCTGGCAAGCACACACACCCTATGGCAAAAATCTCTCCTGAGGGGCCAGCGGGTGGCATGGTGGTTGAGGTGCTAAGCTTCCCACATGGCTGACCACAGTTCAAGTCCTGGTCCTGGTGGCTTGCTTTCTCACTTTCCCTCTCTCTCTGTCTCTGATAAAATCATGTGAAAGAATAATAATGATAATAAATAAAATATTTTTTAAAATATCTCTTAAAAAAAACTATAATTAGGTAAATAAAATTAGCTATTTTGGGGGACCAGAAGTTGGCATAATGGCTATGTTGCTGGACTCCCATGTAGTCGACTGCAGTTTGAATCCCAGACCCAGTGACTTGAACTCACTGGACACATGTGCGTGCGTGCCCAAGATCCTGACAGGAGAATGGAGGAGAAGGGATTGCAGTGTAGCCATCCCCCCTGGAGGGTGATTTCTCACTTTCTGTCTGTCTCTTTCTTCCTTTCTGTTGAGTGCAAGCGCCCTATAGTGAAACCTTTAAAAAAAAAATTAGCTATTTTTTTAGCTCTGACCTCTGAAATGGCCAAGAAGTTAACATTCCAGTAGAATTAAGATACCTGCGGTCTGCATACTGATTTCTAAATACTAGTCCTGAATTTAAAAAACCAAGACTTTTTGAGAGAAATGGCCAACTCTCAGGCTGCAACAGGGAAAGTACAAGAAGAGTCTAGAACAATTATGCCAGAAAATTAAGAACGATGAGTATTTGGGGACAGCAGATGGTGTGGTGGTTAAAGGTGCTGGAATTACCACATGGCCAACTGTGGTTTGAGTTCTGGACCTGATGGCTTTCTTTCTTGCTTTCCCTTTCTGTCTCTCTCTGGTCAAATTAAAAAATAATAAGAACAAATGGAACTAAATAAATATTTTTTAAAAAATGGGTATTTATCAAAATGCCACAGGAACTGGATTGAAATAATTTCCACGGTCAAAATCAGAGACAAGTCTGTACCCTACTCATAGTTAAGGAAGCTGGGCTCCCTCATAACCAACCATGGCTTGAGTCCTGGCCCCAGGGTCTTGAAAACCCACCAGGAACATGTACAGGAGTGCCCCAAATCCCAACAGAACAGAGATGGAGAAGGCTGAGGCATGACCAAGCCTCATTGTAGGGTGCTTTCTCCTTCTGTCTCTCCTTCTCCCTCTGATTTGTATGCATCCCTGATCATTAAAAAGAAAGAAATCCTGGGGACCAGCAGATGGCATAGTGGTTATGTCGCTGTACTGCCATGTAGTCAACCACAGTTTGAGTCCTGGGCTTGGCCACTTAAAACTCAAGCTGGGGGACCAGCAGTTGGAGTAATGGCTATGTTGCTGGACTCCTATGTAGCCCACTGTGGTTCAAGTCCTGGACCCAGTCACTTAAACTCCTGCCATCACATGTGCGTGCAAGCCCAAGATCCCGAGAGGAGAATGAAGAAGGGACTGTGGCATGGCCATCCCCCCTGGGGGGTGATTTCTCACTTTCTGTCTCTCTGTCTCTGTCTTTCTGGCGAGCACATGTGCCCTACAGTAAAAATCTCTCAAAAAATAATAATAACTCATGCTGGACACGTGCACGTGTGCCTAAGGTCCCAAGAGAATGGAGAATGGATTGTGGTGTGGCCATTGCCCCTTGGGGGTGATTTCTCACTTTCTGTCTCTCTGGCAAGTGCACATACCCAATAGCTAAAATCTCTAAAAAAAAAAGAAAGAAAGAAATCCAATTTGGTGAACATAGATTAACCAATAATAAACTTTCTTGTTAAAAAAAAAAAAAGAAAAAGAGGGGGTAGCTGATTGAATGTCAGTTAAGCTGGATCCCACATGGTCAGCTGTGCTGTTCGAGTCCCAGACTGAGCAGCTTGAGAAACATGTCAGGCATATGTGTGGGTATGCCCAAAATCCTGAAAAGATGGAGAAGGGATTACAACGTGACCATTCCCCACATGGGGTGCTTTCTTGCTTGCTCTCTTTCTCCAGCAAGTGTACGTATCCTCTGGCAAAATAAACAAAAAAAGTCAGGGACAAAAATAAATGAGATGAGGGTCATAAGGAAGCCTTCTGATATGTCAAGAATGTTTTATTCACCGAGGTGATGATTACCAAGGTATAGTCATATAAAAACATTCACCGGGGCCGGCAGGCGGTGTGGTGATAAAGCCACTGGATTCCTGTGGGGCCGACCATGGTTTGAGTCCCAGACTTGGCAGCTTGCTTTCTCGCGTTCCCTTTCTCTCCCCCTCTCTCTCTCTTTCTGGTCAAATTAAATAATAACAACAACAAATGGAATTAGATAAATAAATAGATCTTTAAAAAAATAAACATTTAGCAAGCTGCACATTTAAGATCTATACATTTTATTGTGTGTAAATTATACCTCAAAATATTAGGTTGTCGGAAAAGTCATGAGACATTTTTGCATAGAAAAATATGTCATGACTTTTCCAATGACCCAATATTTTAATAATGATAGTAGGACCAGAATATTGGCATAATGCTCATGTTGTCAACTGTGGTTTGAGTCCAGACCCTGTGGCTTAAAACTCACACTGGGTACATGTGCTGAAAGAGAAGGAATTGAGCAAAAAATCAATCAATCAATCAATCATGTACATAACTACTGAATTAAAAAACAATCTGAGTCCATACTGACACTAAAAATATAAGTAAATAAATGAAGGAGATAAAGATCTTCATAGCAGAACTCCAAAAAATAAATTCAGAAAGAATGATAGGGCTTCCTTGTGGTCTGTTGGCTAAGACAATTGGATATGACAAGGCTGATTATGTGGCTCTAGTCTTGGGCCTGGCAGCTTGAGAAACA